TGCACAGAGGGTCAGCGAAAGGTCTATGTATCTCTTAAGCAATATTTTGAGATCTTCGTGGAACTTAAGTGCTGAATGGGGCACAGGGGCAAACTTTACCTTGAGAGAAGCTTTCCAATTATCTCCAACCTTATCTGTGCTTAATTTTAAATAACAAGCTCCACCTTTTATTATAACGTATCAAACTGCTGCATTTTGTGCTTCATTTGTAAATAAAGTCTTAAGAAACATAAGAGAAATATTAAAGGCAGATTGTCGACTTAAACTTGGCCCAATTTTTGGGGGGAAAAACAACTCTTTCTCAAACCCAAGACTGATATAAATCATGGAATCATTTCTAAGATGTTTTTTAATAAATAAACATTCCACTTCATTATTGGAAACCCAAACAGTACAGCCTTATGAACCTTGGAACCAGCTATAAAACATATGTAAAAACTAGCTTGATTGATTTTTTTCTTTGTCCAAATTGAGGAAAATGCAAAAATTAAACAAAAAGAAAAACAGTGACGTACATTTGGATTTGTTTGTCACTTTTAATTATCTAAAAGTCCTAGTAACAGATAAATGTGTATTTGCCGACTGATGCTTTTATACTGGTAGTGTTCCTTTAACACTGAAATATGTCACATTCAGTTTTAGAGCAAAAAGGTATGTAAAATCGTATAAAGACTCCAACTATGTAAGTAAAGAAAAGGTAAAAAGTATTTAATGAACTTTTAAAAAACATTCTGTATGCCTGATCAATATATTTCCCTAGGCTGAAAATAAATGAGTTCTTCTAGGAAGCGAAGGACAAAACAAAATGTCCATTTCTCTTTCTAGTATGAAAAGCAGTGATATAAATGCCCTCAAAGTAATTTTAATTAACTGTAGTCCAAACCTAGGGCTTGATCCTGCTCATGGAGATCAATGGGAGTTTTGCCTTGCCATGGACTTCAATAGGAGCAGGACAGGGCCCCTGTAGCTGGTGTTTTCATAGCTGTCAGCCTTCTTAATAGGAAAAAAAGTGGCTTTGCAACCATATGATATTATTTTTAACCCAAAACATTTCACTAGAGAAACTTAGGCAAGTTACAAACCAACCTAGTCATAAGTTTGCTACTTCATGCTTCAAATATTTTTACTTTGGGGACATCTAACAGTGAGGGCTTTGATCATGCAATTTTTACTCAGGTAAGTAGTCCTAATGACCGTCAGTGGAACTATTCACCTAAGTAGGGGCTGCAGGATCAAACCCTAAGTTACCAGGTACTGGTAGGAACGGCAAAAGTTAATGCCTAAGGCAGAAATTCAAACGCACAGTTCCAACGAGTGGATTTCTTTGTAGTATTGTTTGATACTGCCCCCTTTTGCCCAACAACAAATCAACAGCCTAGACTCCAGACAAAACTTTGCATGACATGCTATTGTTTTCAGTAAAACATGATCATGCAAATGATCTCATTTAACCCTGACATTGCTGCAGCTCGGCGCTCTAAAGAGAGATTATTAATCCGGGCTACATAGCACTGCTGTTCAAACCTCATTTAAAACCTGGCCGCAATCTGCCAGGCAAGATCCTTTTAAAATAGAAAACCCTTCAGCGATATTCTTCAAGAAAATTTCCTCCCCCGGACAAAGGGCCTGGGGTCCCATCCTGCTTCAATTTAAAGTGATTTAAATGGGAGTAATACCTGAGTAAAGACTGCGGGAACTGAACCCCAGCTCACCACGTGGAGCGGAAAGGGAGCTCAGGCAAGACCAGCAGACCTTTTGAAATTAAGGGCAGGTTTTATTTTATTACGAAGCAGCTACGTCCCAAGACACCCGCAGTGTCCATCAATCTGTGGGCACTTCCAATTCAGCCATCCCTGGGCTATCTTTTTGAGGTTGTATATATAAACTGGTGGGGCCACCTTGCTGCAAGTCATTCCCCGTGCCCATTCCCCTTTGCCCAGGGCCCCCCCGCTTCAAGCTTTTGTCTTCCGATCTGACCTCTCTCTAGCTTGCCCCGTTTCTCCTCTCTGGTCGCCCCAGCGCTTTCTGGGGGTCATACGAGGGCAAACGTTGTCAATTGCCCCAACCGAACAACAGGAGGGTGGGACAACAAACAAAGCCAAGACCCACATTCTGTATGGCAGGAGCCCCCGGACTACTTCAGGATTAACACGTCCCTGACAGGCTGAGGACAAAAAACTTAATCTCTTTAAGGACAGAAAAGGGGGAAATCGCCCCCCTCTAAAACAGCATAAGGCATAACACGCACCGCAAAGGTTCCCTACTGTATTCTGCTTTATTCATCACTCAATCCAGTTCTGGAAGGACAAGTTTTAGCCGGAGAGTTTAGAAGAAGGAAAACATGCATGATTCAAGCAGCTGTTAAGAAAAAAAAAAAACAGCTATTTTAAAACCCTGAGTAATCTGGTTAAATATCAGCAGGATTTTCCTTCTTGCCACCCGCCTTTCTCTCTGCAGTTTTAGACTAGAGTTTTCTCCCTTGGGTACCTTATAAATCAGGCATATGGCCAAGTTAGAGCTTCTCCGGAGGAACAGTAGTTTGTTCCATCTATGCGGTCCCCCCTCCTTCTTGCCTTTATTCGCCCATCTTTTCTAATGAAAACAGCAACAACAACATTTGCCATCCGTTCAGTAAACAGATCCTGAGAAGGGGGTAGGTGGAAGAATCACAGCCCAGTTATAACTTTTTGCTTTAGTTGGTTTCTCTCCTGTTTGCAGAGCAATCGGCCCAGGGTATCAGCTTGTATCTGAACCCACCCAAAGGCGCGGAGATCAAACCTACTGCAGCCTAAACAAGAGTTTGGGCAAACAAAGATAAACAAGAGCGAGAGCATTCTTGCTTTAGTACAAGCTTAAACTTCACCAGAAGCCCCCCACCCCCATAAAACAATTAAAGGGAATCTCACATGCTTGCAGGTGGTTGGTTTTTTTTAAGTGCAGGAAATAATTTAAAACCCCAAACAGAGCGAACTTATAGTGTACAAGGAACCATATAAGTGTCCTTCTCCCCAGTTACTTCCCAGCAGCGATCTAAGCCCATAAATAAAGGGACAGGTTTAATAACAGAATAATGTGGACTTGACAACCCCTTTAAAATATCCTCAGACTCCCCCCCCCCTTCCTTTGTTTGTTTTCTTTAAGGAAACTAACACTGTCTGGGCGCTTATGCTCCCCGTCAGCACCCTGTGGCAGGTGGGAAATGCCGGAAAATACAGATCAGCAACTTTTGGTGGGTGGATGGGTGTGCGTTGGCTCGGCAAAGATTTGTTTTAGGTTCCCCCCACCACCTAAATTTCCAACAATACACGAAACCAAGGAGCCGTACAAGGCTGTACGGTTCCCTCTCCCCCTCCGCTTTTGATCTTCATCAGGACGTGAGCTGAACGTTAATGGGCCACCCCTACCACAAAGACAAATTACCATGGGGGGGGGGGGGAGGAAATCATTCATCCCCTTTTCCTCCACGGTACCGCACTCCCCTCCCTCCCCCCGACACACCCCCCCCTCCCGCTCTCTGCAGCCCTGGTGAGCGGATTTAGGGGGAGAGTGGGGAGAAAAAAGAAATCACTTCCACAGCCGCCTCTCCTACTTAATTTCCTCTCCAGCGCTCCGGATCCCCAACTGCAACCCCCCCGGCCCCCAGCCCTACAGCCGCCGGCGGAGAAGGAGAAGTGAACAGGGACCGCAGAGCCCCGAGACACCCCCCCCCCGCCCCCCGTACAATGCATCCCCCCATCACCTCGCCTCCCCTTCCCCGGGGCGCCGCGAATCGCCTCGCACCGATCCCTGTTGCTGCGGCAGCCGGAGCCAGAAGGAGGTGAAGCTGCACAATAGCTGTTCTCCAAAGACCCCCCCCTCCCCGCCGCCCAGTCCGGGTTTGCGCCGGCTTCGCCATCCTTTCTCCTAGGCACAGCCCCCCCCTTCTCCCATTCACCCCACCTCCACCCCCGCACGCACTGAAGTTGCTAAAGTTTGCAACTATGCCCCCTCCACACACACACACACATCTCCTTTCTCACCTAAAAGAGACAGCGCGGGGGCAAGGAAAGGGGGATAATCCCCCCACACACACACCCACCACCCATTGGATGGCTCGTACGGACTATTGCGGGGGGGGGGGCAGTCACTCACTTGCACATCTTGCTCTGGATCTGCAGGGTGCGGGGGGGGAGGCAGCTCAGGCAAGTCCACCGCTTCTCAGCCACCCGGATCTCCCAGGCGAGAGGCTCCCAGCAAGATCCCGGCGGTCGGCAGCGGGTTCCCGGGAGTGAAGTCGCCCCCGTCCCTCCTCTCGCTGCCTTCCACCCCGGAGCAGCCCGGCAGCTGCTATCAGGAGCGCTCCCACTCTTCCCATCAGGGAGGAGGAGGAGGAGGGGGGAGCCAGGGGCTGGCAGCCCCACTCACACTGATGTCAACTAATATATTCAAAGTTCAACAGGGCATTTATTTACTCGCAGCTCCCTCTCTTCCTTCCAGCACGCACAGAGCCCGGCTAGAGGATCCGCTCCCGCCTCTCGCTAGCGGCTCGCGGGGCAGCCAGCGCCTTCCTCCGTAACCACCCTCCAGGAACCCGGGCTCCCGTGCATTTTAAAAAAGCTTGCAAGCGAGACCCACGTTAGCCGTTTGCACTGGGGCTCGCTCGCCTCTTTAATAAAGCCGTTGCAATATTTGTCCTCGCCTTGTCTGGCAGGCACAATGCCTGCCTTGTGTGCGTTTGCTGAGGAACTGTTTCTCACGGGCTTACCAACTGCATAGCTGGGTATTTTCGCGTGCAAGCAGTTTGCAAGCCTGCGCGGTGCAAGAGTGAATAGCCGAGGGCATAATACAAGCCCCCGGCTAGGAATGTTTGCATTTAACCCTTTAGGCGCGCAGCATCGTTTGCTGCCTGGGGAGGGGGTGGCGGCGCAGGGGGGTGCTGTTTGGTTGCAGAGGTTTTCTGGAAGCAAGCGAAAGAGAGAAGTTTAAACTTCGGCCCTAGGAAATCTTCAGAGCAAAGCGCCTTAAGAAGCAAAGGAAATGCACACAGACAACTCACTCCCTCTCTCTTCTGAGTGTCGTTTCCACGACTGAAGCTAGCAAACGAGTTCAGTTTGGAGGGACCCCTGAAAACACCCCACCCCTCCCGGGCAGTAAGGGACTAATCTGTCAGTCAGCTTTGGACAAACATTTTGGACTCTAGAGCCATAGATCAGCCTTTTAAAGTTCCTACAAAATCTAAGACCAGTAGAAATGTCTCCCGAGAACGTCCCATTGAAATTGCTTAATAAACAAATATTTCCTTGCAGGGATTGCAACCCCCACGCTGCAGCTTGGTGAAGCATTAGGAGGTTATTTGCTTTTTGGCAACGCCCACCGCACCATGGATTTATCTGCTCTGTAAAGCAACAAGAAGGTAGGATTTCTACCCCAGTCAGCGTACAGACTGGCAGATAGAGGGGAAGGGAAAGTGGTTATGGTGGTGTTGCCAGGGCGCAACCCCATGTTCCAGATGTCTCTAAACCTCCAACTGTCAGAAGTTGGGACTGGACATGAGATGGATCACTTGATAATTGCCCTGTTCTGTTCATTCCCTCTGAAGTATCTGGCCCTGATTACTGTCGGAGACACAGGATGCTGGGCGAGATAGACCATTAGTCTGGCCCAGTATGGCCACTTATGTTAATTGCCCTTGCTAGGTGATAATGTTTTAATATCACAATGAGGTGAGTGTGAACTAGAGGGATTTATCTCCAAGTGCCTCCAATGTAGCCCTAATCAGCCAGTTGGTTTCCTTGTAAGGTGCCATGGTCCAAGAGAATCTTTAGAATGGTTTGAATGCAAAGAGAATAGTGGCTGGCAAGTGAAATGAAATTGACTGGTTTGTTTTCTGGAAACAAGATAGGGTAGATAATATATTTTATTGGACCAACCTCTGTTGGTGAGAGAGAGACAAGCTTTCAAGCTTACATACATCTCTTTTTTAGGTTTGCTTTGTTTTCATTATTCTAAATTGATAGAAATACAAAGTTAAAAAAACCACTGGTGAAAGGCAAATTAGATTTTTATAATTCTTTCACTTTTAATTCTCTGAGGTGTTGTTAGTAATACAGGTGAGGATATTTGTTTTATTTTTTAAATATATGATTTAATCTGATGGTATTCATTTAATATCTGCTGCATCTTACACAGATTTAATAGTGATCTCTCAAGTACTGTTTTAGGGCAACATTGGGCTATCTAGAAGCAGCTGGTAGTGGCAGGGTGTGCACATCATCAGTGGAGATACACACACAACATTGTGCCAAACAACACAAACACAGTACCACCAAAATTCTGTGGGCAGCAGGCATAGTAAGCACCCTGCAAGGCTAGCCAGTGCAGCGGAGTGGTTAGGGCTGTGTTCCCCTCCATTCCCTCTTACTGAGGCCAATAATTGGGATTGTGTCAGAGCTCTGCACACAGCTGCAAGGAAGTGAGGGTTGGGACAGGCTCTTGAACCCTGCTTCTCCCCCCTGCAGGGCACAGGTAATCTAGCCCTTAATAAGGGTAGACTCCAGCTTCCACAGAAAGCATTGGAAAACTACCCAGGCTGCAGTGCAGCCCAACCCATACTGAACAGAAGTTGATCTGAAAGTGCTATTGCTTGTGATCACACCCTAAACAATATCATGGTGCATATTTTCCCAGCATGCTCAGTGTTAGGAGAGTTTACTTCAAGACAATACAGTGGCGGTTTTCCCCTCACTCCTTATCTGCAGAGTTTACAATAAGCTTACACTGCAATTGCATTCACTGGGGAAGTAAGGGGAAGGGGATTTACCATTCCTCATTTCAGTGTAACTTAGGTGTTAGCACAGACAGGCATTATTAATACAGTATGGCACATTTTGTTAGAGCTGAGGTTTGCCCCAGTGTCCTTGTCCAAAATTCCATGCCCTTATGGTTACCCACCTAGTTAACACCCTCCATCCTAGAAGTGGTTGAATCTCCTTAGTGCTATATGTATATTGCCACTCCAGGATCTGTTGCCCTGAAAATCGGTACCTATGGCCCTAAATAAAAATGTAAAATTATTAACAGATTGATATTTACATTAGTAATATGTATTTCTTAAGATGTTTAGCTGAAGCTGTATAAAGACAGTATGATAAATAAGTAACTATAGTAAAAAGAAATACATCAAGGGGTTTTAGTGACATTACAGATTACAAGATGAGACCCTCAGTCACTTATTTCCAGAATCCCAAAATGGAATTTTCTTTCATGGCAGTGTTTCAATATATATATATATATGAAACTGTTTCTATTCAATAGACTAATCAGTCATACTGATATTGTCAGTATGTTATAGCTATATAAACAGTGTGATTGTAGGATGTCTTGTCAATGCTAATATGACTATACAGCATGTTGGAGGTGGGTGTTTTCAGACATCATATCTCAGGAAAACAGCCGTATAGATCCACTGATGTAGTCATCACACAATAAATAATAATCTCCTTATTCTTTGCCTGCTCTAATTCTCTGTCCTTCTGTAATCCTGTTATTATTTAACTGTCATTGCATTCTTTAACTCTGAAAAGCATTTTTCAGTACAGTTTGTATACAAAAAATCTTTATATAAAGCTATAGGTATAGTATTTTCAATCTGACTTCCTTTCAAAAACTGAGATTGGTTTCTGAGGGGACTGGTACTTTTAAAACCATTTGGATTGTTTTCTGATTGCAAATCTATTGCAATGCCACAATAAGCTCCACCCAAAGTTATACAAAGGGAGTAGTCTTGATCTAGTCCTCGTGTAGAATATATTGTTCCAACTGCCCCATAAACCTCTCCTTCCTTCCCTGTTCATCCAGCCTGGTCCACTCTTAGGATCTGATTTAATTTGGAAGGGATGGGTTAGCTGTTTAAGCCTCAGGGCTCAAATGCTGACACTCCCTGCAACTGAAAATCTAAATCCCAGAAGAGTCAACTAAAACTTTCTTTCTTGTGAGGTATGAAATTTAAGTACTGAGCAGTGTCCTGTGTGTGGATGTTTATCATAAGCCCTTGTAAACCAGGGTCCTCTCTGGTCTCTTTGAACATTAAAGATCCCATGGCACATTTTTAAGGGTGGAATTCTCCCCTGATGTCCTTGAGCAAAATTTATCCTCTGCTACTGTTGTGCTACCTTTCACCCAAAAGGTGGTGGCAATGCAGTGGAACTGTGCATATGTAAGTTGTAGTGAGCTTTGGGACTAAAAGTATTATATAAAATAAAGCATTGTAACATTTCCATGGCTACCTAGAATTTCATGGTTGTCATTTTGCTGCAGATCGTGGACTCGTGAAAGTTCATGGTGATGGCAGCAGGGATGAAACTTAAATCTTCCATCCCTAATGCAGAGGACCCTATCTCTTGGGTTAAAAGAGAATCTCCATTAGCTGTTAGCATTATAGGGCCAATGACACATGGTTGTTCAATTCAGAGCAATGTAAGTGAATAGTCAGGCTATTACAATATTATTTTTCACTTGACAGGATGTACAATCAGTTTTCTGACCTCAGAATCCTAGCCCCTATTCCAGGCCATTATACAGACTGTATCAGGGCTGCTTTTCTGTGATTTTCCAAGAAAGAGCTCTCACTGGCCAGACTTTGAACTGTTACTATTTATACTGACCACAGGCCTCTCCTCCCAAAGAATCTCCCTGCAGGACTCCTTTGTTATGGGGACTGGTGTCTGGGATGAAGACCTTTCTTCTGTGTTTTCTCTTCATCTTCCACCACCACGTTCCTTTTCTCCTTATTGCTCCCTTCTCTGGATTTCTTCTTCTGGACTTCACCTTCCACTGCACGCTATCTGAAATACCCTGTACTGCATGCAGATGTTTGACAGCTAAACTAAGGACAGATATTGCAAAAAGGATTCAATCTGGCAGTTGCATATTCCTACCCTGCATCTCCCCCCAGAAAAGCATTCAATGTGATTTTCACCACTAGGTGGTGCTGATGCATCCTGATGCTCTCTTGAGTATGGCACAGAGGAGGGACAGATTGCCCTGGAGAATTCATGCTCATGGGGATGAGTCCATCATCACACGAGCAACAGTGAGGCTAGAGGAGCACATGTTTAGTCACAGGGTGTAGTATATAAAATCTGAGCCCTGTATACAGTACATGAGTTGCATATTCTGTCTGAGGGCCCGCACGGCAAGCCAGCAGCCTGGCCTCGGGTATCCCTACACCTTTATGTCCCTTTGAGGGTGGCCAAGGGTTGGGATAGAGGTGCAAGCCAGGGAGACTAGGGCAAAAAAATCTTATTGCTTAGGACAAGGGAAAAGGCAAGTCTAAGTGTTGCTGCCTGGCACACAGGGCTGGGGAGGCAGGGTCATTGCCATCAGCCATAGCCCAGCTGAACTGTCTTTCAGTGGGGACAGTGCCACAAAGTGGGCCAAAGGGAACTGAGCTTCCTTAGGCAAGAGAAGAAGGGCGAGCTAGCAGATATCAGGCACACAAACAGAGTCTTGGGAGAAAAAGGGAGTGGAATCAGAAATGCAGTGCAGAGCCAGCCTGAGCCTCCTTAGAGCACGTGGCCTGTTCATGCTCTGATCAGAGATCTGCGCTGAGTGGGGAGGGGAGAAGTTGCATTTAGGTTTTTCAGTGACTGCCAGGTAGTTCAAAGGCAGTAACCATTGCAAGAAATGCAGCTTCAGTGTCACTTTCCAGCCAAGCCAGAGTAGGCTGTGTAATGTCTGTTGGAACATAGGGAATTGGTCTGTTTGTAAGTGAACTGGCTGGCCAGAGCTGCTCCAGCACTTCAGTGCGTTCAGCTTAGTCACGCTAACTGGGACTTCAGAGGCAAAGGCAAATCCACAGAAAAGTCTTGCCATTGGCCCTAGCATCTGGATACCAGATTCACATGCGGGTGGCTGCTCTTGGTGGTTTCAATGCTTTGACTATGTGTATTGGCCTAGTGATTTAAAAAAAAAAATTGTCCCTCTGCCATAATGGGCTGAACCACTTCATACATATTGAGAGAAGAGGAAAAGGAGTGTGGTTGCATTTAAAATTACTCTTAATACCATCAAATCCACATCAGCATGCACATGTTTCACCGGCAGGCCACCTGCCTTTCAGGATCAACTTCTCTTACCCTTCTCATGGTCCTCTAGTGCGGCAGTGGGAGAATGCGGGTTTGCCACAGTGAACGTAATCAAAACAAACCCACACCTGTGTAGCAAAGCAGTAAGACTGAATGGCCCAGTTGGCCTGCTGTCTACATCTCTGCTCTTTTAAAAGGTGAACTGGGACCAAAATGTATTTCTGAATGCATTCACAGTGAGCACTCAGCAGCACTCCGTGCTAGTGGAGGATGAGCACTTGCCTGAATGATCAGGTCTAGATTTCATGTCACATAGCCATTATCCATAATATTTAGGTATAGGGATTTTTGCTTAAATTTGAAATAAGTTATCATATACTCTCTGTTGCAGCTTACAGTCTCAGACTGGTGGCAACATAACTTATACTAAACGGAAGACAAAGCTAAAGATATGATCCCAACTGAGAGTCAGGCAGGCACGTTGAAAGTAAGAGAATAAAAATTAAAAGCCCAGGGGACAGTAGTACAAACGGAGCCAGCAGAATGCAGAGAGGCCTTTAGACAATTACAGCAGCACCTGTATTTCAATTACTCGGAAGATGAAGTGAAAGCTTGAAAACTGGAAAAACCTGTTTTCTTGTCATACAGCCAAATTAAGTTTAGATGCCCATGAACAAGTAATCTGCCATTTTTCCATCCTGAAGCCAGGTACTGTTAATTATCAATGTTCATGTGTCTATTTGGTGTGATAAGGCAGGCAGGTGTCAACGTTGCTAATACAGGCAAGACCTTGGGACTGCTGAGTGTCTCTGTCTGAGAGATGGGGGGAAAGGATCATGGGTCTGTCTCCATAAACAGAGAAGCCTAAAGGATTTATGGACTAGAAAGTGATTTGACCATGTGTCTCATGTGTGACCTGAGACATATGCCATTGTGTGGTGAGTATCTGCATTACTACAGCTCTCACAACACAGAGTAGACAATCATTTGCTGCCTGGTAAAAAGGAACAGTGAAAAATTAAGTTATAGCAACACCACAGTAAACTAAATGGTTCAATCCCGCATTAGGAACCGGTTTTTCAGCTCTAGCTCTGAGCCCAAGAGATCAGATAAATTGGAAACAGTTTCTGCTTTGAGACTGGAAAAATAAAACCAGACTCTGAACTCATTTATTTTACCAAGGATAACTTTATCACAGGGACTGAAAAATTCATTGTGGGACCCTTTCCAGGGTTAGTCTGGGGGCCCTATGTCTCATTTGCTACAGAATTTAAGCTTTCAATGAAAGGCACTGCGGTTGGGTGGATAAGATCATAGCGATAAACTTGATACAAAAGAGTCAGAATAGAATAGAGCAGTGGTTCTCAACCAGAGGTCTGGGACATCCCTGGAGGGGCCGTGAGCAGGTTTCAGGGGGTCTGTCAAGCATGACTGGCATTAGACTTGCTAGGGCCCAGGGCAGAAATCCTAGAATATCAGGGTTGGAAGGGACCTCAGGAGGTCATCTAGTCCAACCCCCTACTCAAAGCAGGACCAATCCCCAATTTTTGCCCCAGATCCCTAAGTAGCCCCCTCAAGGATTAAACTCACAACCCTGGGTTTAGCAGGCCAATGCTCAAACCACTGAGCTATCCCTCCCTGCCTGCCCAGAAAACCAAAGCCCTGTTGCATGAGACTGCAGCCCGGGCACCCAAGCCCCACCTCTGAGGTTAAAGTCGAAGCCTGAGCAATGTAGCTTTGTGGTACTCTCTATGGCAGTGGTTCTCAAACTTTTTTTTTTTGCAGACCACTTGATAATTGCTCAGGGTCTTGGCAGACCCCTAAATGATCTTTCCAAATGTTGTTTGCACCGTTAGCTAACTATTGTAAAGCGCTTTGGATAAAAGCGCTATGTAAAAAAACCCTTAATAATTAACTTTTTTTGTTCTACAAATAGAAGCATACAATTCATATTTAATATCAGTAGTCTTACCATTCTAATGCGATGGATGTGCCCTCTCTCCCCCACTGCAGCAGCCCGTGAGCTGGGGCTGGGAAGGAGGGGGATCTCTCCCTTTTTCCCCTGTTGCAGCAGCCCCCGAACTGGGAGTCTCTCCCTCTCTTCCCTGTAGTGGCAACCCCCAAGCTAGGGCTGGGAAGGAGGGGCATGTCTCCCTCGTCACGGTAGCCCCCCCAAGCTGGAGCTGGGAAGGAGCGGGGGAGTCTCTCTCTGTCCTCTGTCGCAGCAGCCCCCAAGCTGGGGCTGGGAAGGAGTGGGGGGGGGGGGGTCTCTCCCCAGCAGCCGCAGCCCTGGAGCTGGGGAAAGTCACCTATTTCTCTGGCCACTGCAGCCCTGCATATCCCAAATTCCCCCCAACCCCTCTTCTCACCCCACTACCCCCTCTTTCCCCCCAAGGCCACCACCTCACCTTACACGTGTGATTTCTCCAGGGTCCAGGCACCTAATTAGTGAAGCCACCCCCTGCACGGTTCCACTGATGAGGTGAGTGGCCCTTTATTCTCTCGTGTGCGGCTGCTCAGGCACGCACCTTAGAGGGAACTATCAGTCTGAGAACCTCTGCCCTATGGCATATGGCTGCAGGCAATTGCTCGCCTTGCTAGTCCCTAACACCGACCGTGGCTTTTACATGCGGAAAAGCAGCTGTTGGGGCCCAGCTGTGCCACGGAGTTTTTATAGCATGTTGGAGGGGGACTCAGCGGTAAAAGACTGAGAGAACCCCTGGAATAGAGGGTTCTACCTCACCAGAGCTCAAGGCTCTCTCCCTGCTCAGCCACTCATTGAACTGACTTTGGATACATCCACTGGGACCAGATTTTCAAAGAGCACAGCATGCAGGAGCTCCCCTGGTGACACTTGTAGCATGCAGGAACAAGGCAGGAGCTCTTTAAAACAGTTGGCTCACAAACTATTTAAAGGAATACTACCCTATTCCTACACACTGCAACACTTGCAGCACCCAGTGGGCTGTGCTCTTTGGAAAATCTGCCCCCAAATGTGGATGCGGTGCTCTTTGAAAGGCTGACTGTCGTGGGGTGGTCTGCAGCTGGGAAAAAGGGGTTAAAAGCAGCCAAGCTAGGGTGTGGCCCGCTTAATTAGGGCCCAGCTGGCCCTTATAAGAGGGTTGGGGGCCAGGAGTTAGAGGAGTTTCATTCTGGCCCTGGAGTGGGAAGGGCTAGCTGCCTGAGAATGAGGTACCACAGGTAGCTCCAGCCTGGTAAAGGCCCAGAAAGGTACTAGGGCTGCAGGGGGGCAGCCTGGGAATAGACAGAGGCAGCTGGTCCTACCCTCCCCTTGCCTGTGATGAGTGGCCATTGCAGACTGTAGTCTGCCCCAGTGAGGGGGGGGGGGGCTAGATGATGACTGGCAGTCCCCACTGAGGCAAGGTGGGGATAGAGGGTTGGGGGTTCCCTGTGGAGGGGAGACCCAGAAACTGTGGGGGTACTGCAGAGAGCAGAACCCTGAGGTAAGGGGCACCAGGGTCCAGGAGGGACATGGGGGCCAGCAGCAGGCGAGACACCAGCCTGCAGAGGGAGCTATGGGCTGGAAGAGCTAATTCCCAGGATGACCAGCAGGAGTGCCGTACTGGTGAGTCATTGCCTCGCTACGCTGACCCTTAGCTGTTCACCTCCGCCTCCTTTACACTACCTGTAATATACTGACACAGAGTAGCCTGGTTAATGAAATGCAAAGAACTACCAAAGTCCTTCTAGGGAAGAGGTGGAAATGGAATGTAGGGCTTCCTAGCTCTGTGCACATTCCCTTGGGATATTCTGGTGGTGAATGCAGTGGAAGGAAGAGGATCTTCTTACCAGATTCTAGTTCTTCCACAATATTTGAAAATCATGGCCTGTTTGCAGCCATTTTGAGGACTCAAGAGTCAAGAGCACTTGGCTAACCCAGCCATATAGAGGGTTTCCTTCCATAGCTGCACACTTTTCATGAGCTTGAGTAAAATACCTTCTGGGCATGCTCAGTATGTAATATTCAAATACTTACAAGTCAGTCAAATCAAAGGCAATTAACTTTCAAATTTCACCCAGTTTGGCTGCAGCGTTGTTCAAATTAAAAGGTCATAAGAATTTTTTTTAAAGGGGAAAAATTGTTTTTTTCTGCCCCACTCGCTTCTTGCTTAAAAGAAATCATAACTATTTATTCAAAGTTTGAAAAAAAGTCACATCTGGGCTGAGATCACACACAGAAAATGTATTCCACCAAATTTATACACCTCAGAAAGTTACGAGTGATTGAAAACAGGGGTTTAGAATAAAGCTAGATTACAGGGGCTGTGACCAAATGCCCCCGATCCTGAAAAATGGACCTGAGGCAGGGATTGAAATCCAAACTTATCCCTGACCTTTGGGAAGTTCAGACCCAAACTCCTGTCCAAATCAGAACTTCACCGCTCAGACCTGTCAAAATGATAGGCTTGAAATGGAATCCTGAACCCCATAACCCTACTCCCCCACCCCAACTGTGGGAAAGTTAGAATCCAGACCCAAACTTTTTGGCTCAATCCCTTCTCAAAGGGTAAGATACTCTATTCTGCAACATATCAATATACCTGAAGGACCCCAGCCATGTTGGGCTAGAACCCCTGTTGCAGTGGGTGGCAGGGAGATACCTATGGAGCTCTCCGCTGGCACCCTTCTGCACTCTCCTTTTTGTTTTTATTTTTTTTTGGGGGGGGGCACACTTTTTAGTGGTCTGTGCCCTGCCCCTCCACACTCCCATTCCCCGAAAAGCTATGTTGTCCTGGGGGCAGCACATAAAAAGGAACAGTTCCAACAAGAGTTTTCAGAGAAGGAAGAAAAATGAAGAGAGGCCAGGAGTGTAGGGATCCTGCTTTCATTAAAGCCCATGGGAGTCTTGCCATTGACTTTAATCCTGGGAGCTGGATCAAGCCCTTAGGTCTCCAACAGTGGAAGAGGGGAAAGCCCCTCTTGGACTTACAATCCTGTGGCAATTGGGTTGCAATTGGCCATCTTCCGGATTGTGTCCCACTTTGTCCATCTATTAAGCAATGAGCTAGTAAGACGTGCACTTAGGAGTTTACTGGTGGGTACAGTACAAACTTGAGATTGTTTCCATTTGTACGATGCTGTGTGGTAAGTTGGCTTGGCAGCAATATCACTCATTCACAATTCCTGCCTTTGCCTCTAACTAGGTAAGAGGGAATTAGTGCTACCGTGGAGAAGAATGGTAAGCAATAAGGCCTATGTGATGCAGCTTTGTTTTAATCCAGGTCTCTCAGCCCACTCTGAAATCAGTGCCCTGAACGCATGGATGGGAGCATGGAGAGAGACGTGTAACAAGCAGTGGTCACCTGAAACCGTTAGAAGACGTTGATCCTGCTGAGAGTGGGTTTCCTGGGCTCTACTGACTCATGGAGGTAGGTGGCTCATACACCCCCATGGGGGTGAAAGGGAGGTGGGAGTAGCTTAACACAAGAACCAGGGATCACCCAATGACATTAATAGGCAGAGGCCTTAAGTGAAACAAAAGGAAATACTTCACCTAACACACAGTCAACCTGTGGAACTTGCCCCAAGGGAAATGCTGAAGGCCAAAAATATGACTGGGTTCAAAAAAGAATTTAGGTAAGTTCAAGGAGGATAGGTCCATGAATGGCTCTTAGCCAAGATAGTCAAGGATACTATCCCATGCTCCAGGTGTCCCTAAACCTTCAACTGCCAGAAGCTGGAACTCGACAATGGGATGGATTACTCAAAATTGCCCTGTTCTGTTCCTTCCCTCTGAAGCATTTGGCACTGGCGTCTCTCTGAAGACAGGATACTGAGCTAGATGGATCATAAGTCTGATCCAGTATGACCATGCTATGTGCTCTGAGGAGAGAGGATCTAGAGTGTGGGCTGAGTTGTCCTAAGAGGCGCTAAGACTGAACTGAACTTTGTTCATGTTTCTTTTTTGTTAATAAAACTATACCCCAGAAAGAGGAAGAATTTGGACTCTCTACACTATGTGCGCTGTGTTTGTAGAGCAAGTTGGAAGAGGTGGCTGCTCACAATACCTCAGCAAAAGTTTTGACACCACAGCCCATTATATTAACTTAAAGCTGAGAACACATATATAGAAATTCACTGTTCAGCATCCTAATGGAGTGTGTCTGCTTCCCTTCACAGGCACAGCCAGAGATGCCAAGGAAGAAAGATGATTGCAGCAAAGAGTGTGTTGGTGCAGAAGGAGAGAGGTGTCCTACTCTAAGTTTCAGTGATAAACTTGCAAACCTCTTCTGCCTAGCATCGCGTCCTTTATTTGTCCATTGCTGCATATTGTGATGTGCAGGCTGAATGGCCACTAAAGTGCCACCCATGAAGCACAGCATCAAAGAGAACCAACCGTTTTTTAGTGGTTTTTGAAGGTATAGTATAGCACGGTGCTGCTGCATAAGATGAAACACTGTTCTGTTCATACACTGCCTCTGAATGTCTAAAATCAAATTCTCTGCTTGTATTTCAGGAATCATGAACAGGGAACATTTTGAACAAAGTATAATCAAGATTGCTGTGGCATTAAATGCATACACAGATTGGGCGTTGTTTCATCCCAGGTTAGGTGGTATTAAACAGTAATATTAGACTCTTGTAAGCTGCCCACTCAGATTTTACTCAGTGGAGTCTAAATATACTGTATATTTCATTTAAATCTCATAGCCCAAAGCATTCAGCATCCTTTCAGGCAACAATCCAATACACCCGGTTTATCTCTTGGGAATGTAAGCTCCAGCTGAGTAAGCAAGTATCTCATCCCAGTACTCTGACATTAACCACACAGTCCAAGTAGGGCCCAGTCCTGTAATGTACCGAACACTCTCAGCCTTCCATAGAAGTGGGTCAAAGGTGCTTAACACTTCACAGGAGCTCTTGCTGCATTACAGAATCAGACTGTTCATTACAGCAGCGATTTCAGCTCTGTTTGTGTGTTGCAAGTCACCAGGTATCCAGCCTGACCAATTATTTGATTTCTCATAAGTGCCTCCACGGTTGAATCCTTCTTCCTATTTTTCTCATATGGAAGCTGTCCATCAAAAAATACTTTTAGTAGGCTAGTTTTCCATTTATATTCATGTTGTGATGGGAGAGTGAAATTTACAATGTTTGGGGGGTTTTTTTCTGTCAATCCTGTTCTCCATTTTCCACCAAATGTCTGATTCAAACAGGAGCAAAAGAATGTTGAAGGCAAATAGTGTTTTTCATCAAATAGTGAATTTAACTACAGAAGAATGTTGAAGGCAAATAGTGTTTTTCATCAAATAGTGAATTTAACTACTGAATGTTATGCAAATATCACCTATTTATGTTTCAATCATTTCTTTGTACTGCAGTCAGTAGGACAAATCTTATTCCCCTGTTAACATGAACAGGGCAACTGATAAGCAGGAGCTAGTCAGGTGAGTAAGGTTTTTCAAGTATGCTAACTAATTTGTATTAAAATGCTTATTCTTATAAAGCAAATATTAAATAGGTTTTATTGTACAAGCTTAGTTTCTTTTTCTAGAGCTATTCACATATAGCATAGATGCAACAATGTAGGTTTTCTGAAAGTAGAAGTGATTGACTATGAACACCCCTCCTAAAACTAGAGTTGAAAGTCAGGTCTTGGGGCGGGGAACAAACACAATGGCCTTGAGGTATTAACCATGTAGATGTAGTGGCAGAACGGTAGGATTATTTTTGAATGTGTGCTCAATTTTTTGAATGTACAAGGACTGAGGCAGGGGGAGAAAGTGTAGGAACTTAAGCCCTGATTCAGGACAGCTCTCAAGCATGTGAGCAGTCCAAGCTCTGTTCTTCAAAGCATAAAAGTACATGCTCAAACTTTGAGCACAGACTCAAAGTTCGAGTGAAGCCAATGAAACTTAAACAAACATGCTTAAGGTTCAGTGCTGGGCCTTATTTACAGTAAAGGATCCCCATTCCACAATCTAGGAGCTGTCATCAGGTTTATTAATACTTTATGTATTGCTCAAGTTTTGCTGCTCCTCCCTCCCTCTCACTCCATCTCCACCAGGCATCATGAGGCAAAACAATTTTGGGTTTCATCCACTGAAGGAATTGAGAATTCCCTTAAATAGGCCCAACCTGAGAGCGTCTTAAGACCACCTGAGTTTAGCCACTGTCTTCAAGGAGAGCAGGATTGGTCCCTAAGCACATTTTATCTATCTCAGGTAAGCAAACCTCAGCAACTGAGCTGTAACAGCAGCCAACACTTCAGAGTATAATTTGCCCTGACACAGGCTGTACCCCTTTCTTCTTGTTAAATACAGATTGTTTAAGCCCCACAGTGAAAAACTAACCCACAGGTCTGCCTTGGTTTCAGGAGCGGGTGTCCCATTGCTATAAATTAGCAGCAGGGTGTGGCAGTGATCAACACGGTAGCACACTTTTCGACCTCTTTGCAGCATTGCCATGTGCACACCTAGGGCCATGCCTTTTATTTAATTAATAAATAAATAAATGACCTGAGCCACAATGTTCAGACTGGCATACAATTCCCCTGAAGTTTGAGGGTGTTTAGATCATCCGGTTATAAGATAGACCCAGACCTGAACTCCACAGCTCACCTTCGGGCATGTTTTGATCCAGGTGTTTGCTTTGAGTCTACCTCTAATCCTTAGTGCTACAGAAGTATACAGCCAGACAAAAGCTACATCTTGCACAGGCATGCAGGTGGTTAGCACAGATATCCCAGGTGGATAATTTTGCTGAATCCACTACCACAGTGGGTCTCAAGCTGTAATCGCCTACGCTGCTTCTGTCACAACAATGAAGCATCTGTCAGTCTTCAAGCTGTGACTCTTGCTGCTAGTTGGAGCTCAGTTAAAGTTTCTCTTCAGGTTTCCAGCTGCTGTTTTGGTTTGCTTGACCAGCTAAACTCAAGCCATCCCTGCTTCACAGCCTGTGCAGCTGTTTTTCTGTGTGGGGTGTCTTTGATGTAAATTCAACTGTTGATCAAACTTTCAGACAGTGACAGGATAGCAAATACACAGGAAGACAGAACCAAAATGCAGAGTGCCCTGGAGAGATTAGTGGAAACCCGAAGACGACAAAATGAGATTCAATCCTAATGAAAACTTGAAGCCCCATTTCTTCTCTTTAAACAGTTGTGACAGGGTCAGGCCAGTGGCTATAGGAGAGTAGTTTTGTGTGTTTCCTTTTTTTTAAAAGGACCAGTAATACTCATATTTATTAACAAACCTGCAAACGGGGAATACACATTAAGTCAATATATTTGAGCACAGAAATAAAGAACACTAATTGAACAGAGTCTTCATTTTTCAGTTATAATATTCCAAAGAGTCTATTAAAGTTATCTTTCAAGACTGCAGTTTGGTTTGAGTAATTTTTTTTAAGCAAAAGATGGGGTTTTTTTATTTGCATAACACACTTACACATTGCATATGCTGCTGTTTTTACTTTGTAACACAGCAACCAATCACAATTGTTTTCTCATTAGCTTCAGGGGAGGGAAGTGTTCAAGCTTGCCTGGGCCCAGAGCGGGGGGGCTTCCTTGACTCTCGTGGTCTTCCACCCCCTCGAGTTACCTGGCACCACGCCCGAGTGTCACCAACAATTCCCTCCCCTGAAAGCACCCAACAAAAGGGGCAGGCTGTGGGGTGGACAATCCGGGGGGGGGGGGCACATGCACCCACCTGTGAAAGGACCCCTCTAAGGTGGTGGTGTCCACAGTGGCAATGGCTGGGGCTGGGGTCCCTTACTCTCTCCCCCCAATCAAGGGGTCAGACAAAGGGACGCGGACAGAGACACTGAGCAGAGAACCTCAGAGAGCGCCCACTGCTCCTCAAAAGCATCAAGGGAGTCGGATGCCACCCAGAGGAACTCCGCCCGGATACGTGAATGGACCGAGAATCAGAAAACGGCCCCACAGTCACAGGAAACTCCATCGGCCAACCTCCTCTCTCTGGTTTTATAGATGGCCGTTTTAGCCAAGGCCAGGAGGAGGTTAACTAGGAGATCCCACAACTTTGTGAGGCCACGGATGGGGAGTGCATAAATAAAAAGGTGAGGGGAAAAATGCAACCAAAAACGTAATAGGAGATTTGAGAGGAGCTGGAACAGGGGCTGCAGCCTGGTGCACTCCAAATATACGTGCCAGGGTTTCCCTCACACCACAAAAGGGACAAGTATCTGGGACGGGGGTGAACCGTGCCAAGTACGTGCCTGTACTCACAGCTCCATGATGTCAACTGATGTCCCCGACGGGCCTCAGAACCAAGGTGGAATATAGGCTGGCCCACTGGGGCTGCTCACCCTCCAAAGGTGGCAGAAAGTCTCACCACTTTGTGTTGGGGCGGGACACTAGGGTGAGGGCGTGAAGGATGTGGAGCATGAGCGTGTATAGATGTTTCCTTGGCGCGGTTTGGAAGCGTACCAGCTGCAGTTCATGCAGCCGGCTTGCAGTGAAAGGGTGAGGGGTTTGTTGGGATCGGCAGGGTAGGGGCCCAATGGAAAGGTCCGGCGGGCCTGGGGTAGAGGATGGGCAGGGTACGCCCTCGCGCAAGGCTCGGTTGACATAAGCCCAAGCAGCGCGGGTCAAAGCGGCCTTCACCTCCTGAAGTACGCGCCGGGGGGGTACGAGGGCTGGAGAGCCCCATGCGCCGAGCGAGCGTCAGGGGATCCAGCCAGTCTCTCCGGTCGTAGTCCAGGAGGTCTCCGACCCTCGTGACTTCCACCAGGACCAACCTCTGGCGCACCGAGCGGGACTCCGCCACCTGCACACGGAGCTGGGGGTTGTGTAGCAGGGGCTCCGTGAGGAGATCTGCTCCCACGGTGGCCGCCACGGACCTGGTTGTTAGAAACAGTTTCCAAGTCCGGAGGAGGTCCTGGTAGAAGACCGGCAGCCCGGAGAGGTCTCGCGGAAAACCCCTCAGAGAAAGATAAAAGAGCTGCCGGTCGTATCGAAGCCCTTGGAAACGGCGCAGGAAATGCTCCACGCCGAACTACTTGCACTATAAAAGAGCCTCTGCAGGGCCTGGAGATAAACGCCGAGATAGAGCAATGGACCCGCACTCCACCGGATGGTCTGAAGTGCGGGTGGGAGGGAGCTTACCTGCCGCCAGTCCCCCACCGCCAAGCCAGAGCTCTTGACCCAGTTGACTCGGGCGGAGGAGGCTGCCGAATAGATGGCTTGGCATGCCTCCACTCGCGCCAAGTCGCCCGGGTCCTGGACCACGAGGAGTACGTCATCGGCGTACGCCGACAGGACCAGCCGCAGCTCCGGCTCCCGCAGCACCAACCCTGTCATCCTCCTGCAGAGGAGACAGAGGAAAGGCTCGATCGCCAGAGCGTACAACTGGCCCGAGAGGGGGCACCCCTGCCGCACTCCTCGCCCGAAGCTGACCGGTTCAGTCAGGGTCCAGTTGAGCCTAACCAAACACTCCGCGGAGGCATACAGCACCCGGAGAAAACTCACAAACTGAGGTCCAAATCCAAACACCTGCAGAGTGCTCAGGAGGTACCCATGGTCTACTCTATCGAACGCCTTCTCCTGATCAAGAGACAGGAGGGCGAACGACAGATCATCTCTCCACCCGAGTTCCAAAAGGTCTCGGACTAGAAAGAGGTTGTCGAAAATGCTGCGACCCGGGACAGTATAGTCCAGCCCAGACGGTGACTAGGTCTGGGCCGAGAATGTCCCAGAACGCTCGGTAAAACTCCACGGTCAGCCCGTCCATGCCCAGAGATTTATTGGTGGGCATGCGACGGAGGGCTTCCGAGAACTCGGCCAGGGTGAGAGGCAGCTCTAGCCGGTCTCGGTCGCCCACGCTGACCGTGGGGAGTTCCTCCCAGAGCACCCCGCAAGCGCCAGGATCGGTCGGGTCCGGGGAGAAAAGGCTTGCGTAGAAGTCACGGGCCCTCCCACACATCTCCTCCGGATCCGTGAGGGGGGTGCCGTCTTCCGCAAGAAGGCAGGTGACGTGTTTCTTGGCCCCCCCTTATTTTCTCCAGGGCATAGAAGAAGCGGGAGCCGCGGTCCATCTCCCAAAGGAGGCGGATGCGGGACCGAACGAAGGCACCTTGGGTCCGGTGGTCCTCGAGGGCCCGGAGCTTCTCCCTCTTCTCCCGGCACGCTCCGCAGAGGGACGGGTCCTCGGAGTTGGCGGCCAGGCGCCTCTCCATCCCTAAGACCTCCTGTTCCAACTGCTCTATCGCCGCATTTCTCCATCATAACAGGGAAGGTTTTTTTTTGAAACAGAAAGAAAGTTTATTGGTAACGCTTACAGAATTACCAGAGAAACAAAACAACTATGCAACAAAACAACGCAATCAGAAGGTATAACACAGCAGCTTTCAGGAGGGAGAAGTGTTCAGGCTAGCCTGGGCCCAGAGCGGGGGGGCTTCCTCGACACTCGTGGTCTTCCACCCTCCTGAGTTACCTGGTGGCCTAGAGCGGGGGGGCTTCCTCGACACTCGTGGTCTTCCACCCCCTCGAGTTACCTAGGGCCGCGCCCAGTGTCACCGATCCTCCCTCTCCTGAGAGTGCCCGGTAAGATGGGCACGGCTGCGGGGTGGGCGGTTTAGGGGGGGGGGTAGACACCCATGTATTATAGGACCCCTCCTAGATGACAGGAATGATGGTATCCCCAGCGGCAACGGCTGGGGCTGGCGTCTCTCGCTCTTACCCTCAATCAAAGGGTCAGACGGAGGGAACCGGACGGGGTCACCAAGCAGAGAACCCCAGACAGCGCCCACCGCTCCTCGAATGCTTCAAGGGAGTCGGTGGACGCCGCCCAGAGGAACTCCGCTCGGATACGTGAATGTACTGAGGATCGGAAAACGGCCCCACAATCGCAGGACGTTTCATGGGCCAACCTCCTCTCTCTGGTTTTATAAATGGCTGTTTTAGCCAAAGCTAGGAGGAGGTTGACCAGAAGATCCCCGCGACTTTGTGGGGCCACGGATGGGAAGTGTATAGATAAAAAGGTGGGAGGAAAAATGAAGCCAGAAGCGTAATAGAATATTTGTGAGGAGCCGGAAAAGGGGCTGCAATCTGGCACACTCTAAATACACGTGCGCCAGGGTTTCCCTCACATTACAGAAAGGACAAGTATCCGGAATGGGGGTAAACCGTGTCAAAAACACGCCCGTACTCACAGCTCCGTGAAGGAGCCGCCAACTGATGTCCCCGACGGGCCTTGGGACCAAGGTGGAATACAGGCTGGCCCACCGAGGTTGCTCACCCTCCAAAGGTGGCAGGAGATCCCGCCACTTTGTATCGGGGGCGGGACACCAGGGTGTGGGCGTGAAGGGTGTGAAGCGTAAGTGTATATAAGTATTTCCGTGGAGCAATTTGAAAGCTAACCGGCTGCAGTTCGTGCAGCCGGCTTGCAGTGAAAGGGTGAGGGGTTTGTTGGGATCTACGGGGTGGGGGCCCGATGGAAAGGTCCGGCGGGCCTGGGGTAAGGGATGGGCAGGGTGCACCCTCGCACAAGGCTCGGCTAACATAAGCCCGAGCAGCGGGGGTCAAGGCGGCCTTCACCTCCTGAAGCACGCGCCAGGGGGTACGGAGGCTGGAGAGCCACATGCGCCGAGCGAGTGTCAGGGGATCCAGCCAGTCTCTCCGGTCGTAGTCCAGGAGGTCTCCGACCCTCGTGACTTCCGCCAGGACCAACCTCTGGCGCACCGATCCGCCACCTGCACACGGAGCTGGGGGTTGTGTAGCAGGGGCTCCGTGAGGAGATCTGCTCCCACGGTGGCCACCACGGACCTGGTTGTTAGAAACAGTTTCCAGGTCCGGAGGAGGTCCTGGTAGAAGACCGGCAGCCCAGAGAGGTCTCGCGGAAAACCCCTCGGTGAAAGATAAAAGAGCTGCCGGTCATATCGAAACCCTTGGAAACGGCGCAGGAAGGCGTGCGCCAGTATGCTCCACGCCGAACTACGTGCACTATAAAAGAGCCTCTGCAGGGCCTGGAGGCGGAAAACGCGGACCTGAGTGTACAGACACTTCAGGCCCTGCCCTCCTTCCTTCAGGGGTAGATGAAGAACTCCAACAGGGGCCCAGTGCATTCCTGACCAGAAGAACTCTAGAATCAATCTCCGGAGGTGGGTCAGGAAACCCGGGGCCGGGGCCAGGGTGTTGAGCCGGTACCAGAGCGTGGACAGGACTAGTTGGTTAAGCACCAGTGCTCTCCCTCAGAGGGAGAGACATCGGAGTAGCCTCGTCCATCTCCGGATCCGCTCTATCACCCCGCCCTCTAAATTTTGCCAGTTCTCCGGCGGGGAAGGATGCGTGGAGGAAAGGTAAACGCCGAGATAGAGCAATGGACCCGCACTCCACCGGATGGTCTGAAGTGCGGGTGGGAGGGA